CTTTGAGGCCCTAAATATTAGGGGGTTTTCGGGATAACTTAAGGTAATGTCATGACAGATCTACACTGTATGATTATCACAACAGATGATAAATAATTGCACACAACATAGGGATACGTGGTCCAAAAAACCCTACCTGTATCATGACACCATCTTTGACTTTAACAATCAAAAAGTTTCCAAAGCCACTGGGTTTGGCCTCCCAAGGAACCCGCATGGTCAAGGCATAGCAACCAGGTTTACTTTGACTGTCTCGCACAAAAAATGATCCCTCTTCTGATTTCTCTAACATCTCAGTGACAAACTCCCTAAAAGAAAAAAAAACACCATGTCATAATGGGATATTATTGCTGCTGCCAATGATGATAATAAGACTATCAATAACATATTAATAAAATGGAAGATTCCTTGCTAACTGATGACCAAAAAAATGATAACAGTGTTGCACCTCTCTTATTCAACAACCAATCTAAGGCAAAGTTGGTATGTTGCATCATTTTTCAGTCATACTCATGTTCCATACCTTTGAGAAGGATTATATGGTAACTAAGCATACAACGACAGACATATTCTGTTAATATGCAGTCTGTGGAAATTTGAGAAGAATTGACCAAAACAACCAACAGCATTTAATTAGACAAAGTAGAGCATTAAAGTTACAAACCTGGGTATTCCAGCCATGTACCAATTTTCATCTTCATGACTGTTACGCTTTGAGACGGCCTCATGTTTACTGCTCCCTGCAAACTCATTATTTGCCGCTAGCATATTTGGGTCCGAGGCAGACTTAGCTAGTGGCGACATCCTGACACCCTGCTTGGCAGTCACGCCATTGGATATCTTAATATTATCACTGCTGGACAGTGGAGGTGTATAAGACTGTTCTCGTGCAGGTTTGGCAGGTTGCTCCTTATCAGGTGGAATGTAAAATTTTTGTTCTGCCGGTTTTTGTGATGTACTTTGCACTGAATCAGCAGGTGCACCGATTTTCCTTTCTGCCACTGGACTACCATCAGTGACTGCATCTGAAGGACTTGACTTCTTTTCAGCTACCTTCTGGCCACCGCCATCCTGCAGAATATTTGACCTACGGACCTCAGGAGGGGTATGGGCTTTACCAAATGACCTCCGTCTTCCAAGTGGTGATGCTTGAGAAGAGGAAGTGGTGGCTTCCACTGCTGCTGTTGCGGGTGTGGCTTGTTTCCTTGGTGTCAATGGACTTTTATGTGGTGACTTCTCCTGTTCCTTTTTTAACCTTGCCTGAATTGCATGCTGAGAGTGCTCATGACCCTGCTGGGCCTCAAGCCTTGCCTGGAAAGTGAATGACGCAACTGTGAATAAATCATGTTAGCATAGCGGTAGTCCACTTGTAACAAAATTTATTGTTACTTACAACTTAATTTAAAATTTACTGCTGCAGCATTTTTAGTTTAATATTAATTATTATTGGGGAGTAGCTTTGGTGCAGTGGTGAGAGAGCTCACCTCCCACAAATCTCGCCTGGGTTCAACTCCAGCCTGGTGTCATATACAGGTGTATGAGTCAAGTTTGTTGTTCAAAATAATGTTCTCGCCTTACTGTGAGGGTTTTTCTCTGGGTTCTCCGGTTTTCCTCCCTCCTGAAAAACCAACATTTCCAACTTCTAATTCGATCAGGATAGAGGAGCCACATGAAATCTTCTAGGGCTGATGTGGCATTCCTCTCTAAATATCTAAATTCTTTTCTTATTTAAATATTATAATTTAAAGAAGATATAGTTTTGGTGTCACCTTGTTGCCATCATTAAATGCAGATTTAAGACTTTAATCTGCATTTGATAATGGTGACAAGATGATTCCGAAATGTCATGTTCTAGGGTTTATTTTTCTTTTAAAAATATAATTTAAACTTTTCAAAGTTTGGGACATCCCATTTTTGAGCCACTTGATACATACCCATCGCCTTCCTTGCACAATTTGTTTATCAGAGGCTTCTGTCTTGAATTGTTCCAATTTAAGTTCTGTTCCTTTTGGGAACTTTGATTCTGCAAATGCCACTTGAAATGCTTTCCCAACCAAAGCTGTAAGGTTCTGAACCTGTTGTTCAGATAAAACATCATGTCACTGTAACATTCACCTTGTTTACCTCAATCACTAGACAAGTACTTCTCATGCATGACTCAATCATAAATTAAAGTGAAATCATAGAGGACTATACTGTCAATTAAAGCTGTATGCTGACTAAAAGGACTTTTCTATTCATGAATGAGAGGACATAACTGTGAGGGTTGAGGGTCTTAACAAAAAGCAAAGTCAGCGCATTATGGTTAGACTTGAACTGTGTTCATTTCAACACACCACTATACCACCACACCACATGCACTTTTATTATTTGTTTTATTTTGCACCACACACACAATAGGGATAGAGTAAAAAGAAGCAGGAGTAGAAGTAGAAGGGACTGGTCACCTCTTCTCAACAAGGTACATGTATGAAGACATGGCCTTCTTATTGCCAAAGAAATCGTTATTCATGATGTTACTTATTTGAGGTACCTTTCTTATCTACATATCAGTGAGTTTTTCTTACCTGCCTTGTATACTTAGACAAGAAGACATGGCAGTGAATAGCTGTCCCCAGCGGAGAGGGAATGTGAGACATGTAAGCAAACAGTCTAAACTCTGGGTCACAAGTCGCAAAAGAAATTCTCTGCAGTGGATGGGCCATTCTAACACGCTATCAATGAAACAATAACAAGGACAGTTACAACTGATATTTATTTTCACAATAAACTGTCAGCATGCTGTTGTGCTCGGTAGTCCCGAGTTCAATTCTTGGTCATGCTTGTAAATACAGTAGCCAACTGGTCTGCCTCCTGCCAGTTGGGATTCTTAACCAAATTATGTTCATTTATGTTGTTAGTATTTGTTTTCATCATTTGTTTCCATGGGCCCTGAAAACCCGATTGGAGGAATGGTCAAAACTTTAAAGTATTTAATTCTTTTATTTAATTTTAACTCATAACAATCCCCTCTACTAAACTACAGAGATACAAAAACCTCTGTCAGAACCATATAATTTCCCCACCCCAATTATCAAACTTAAGAGAACAAATGATGTACAAGCTAGACTAAATAAGAACAAAAAAATTAATTACCTGGCCATCAGGAGATATAACCTTAATTCCATCAGTTGAGATTAGAATAGCGACACCAACACCTCTCTGAGCATACTGAAAATTATAGATGTCAACTTAATAATAATGCTGCAAGTATTAAATTGTAATGTACCTGAGATGATGTACCTTGCATATTATGTGAGTATATGAGGTCTGAGAGTAACCAACATATCATAGGCCTTGTCATCATGTACCAGAAAATTATTAATACTAAGAAATAAATAAATTTGTGAGAAAAATGTCCATGGCAATGTGACAGTAGGTGAGAATTAAAAACAATCAGTAAATAAGAATACTTTACATTCTGATTATGTAGTTCCAGAAAATATCCATACCTCGACCAGGGAAGGGACCTCCCATCCTTCTGCAAATTCTAATTAAGCTTGGTACATTGTTTTAAATGTTTTGATCTTCAAGAAGCCCCAGATCCCCCAGGAGATTCCAATCCCTTCTGTGGGGTAGTGTGGATATTAATTTTCTGGAACTGCACATTATAAATTGACCTTGGGACTGAAAGTGTAATTCTGCCAGATGGTACAAGATGGAAAACATGACTCCTTCAAAAAGTGTTTTAATAATGAATGAATTAATGTGAGTCCTTTACTCTCAGTATACCTCATGTAGAATTCAAAGTACTGTAGGAGAAAAAATGTACAGTATTAATTAAGCAGTAAAAAAGACTCAACCTACCCGATATTCATTAAGTTTCTTTTTAACAAATCTTGTTCTTTCCTTGTGAGTTTTTAAAGTATTTTCATCTTCTCCACCAGTGCCAAGACTGACAGCAAATGTTCCTATATACTGTATAAAAAGATTATTAAAAACGAGATTAGAAGAGGTACGGTTGGGAAACCCAGACCAGTCTATGATGCCTTAATTTGACTGAAGATATCTTATACTGTTCAAACTTCATTTCTTGACTTATTTCCCCATCACAGCATCCCCAGAGGTTGGGGTTATTGCAAGCTATATAGCCACAGGTGCCCCAAGCGTCCTCTTGTACGCTAAATTATGAATGGGAAGATACAACAAAGAGAAAGTTGTTTATCATTCAGAAATGCAAAATGAAGAAGACCAGTTAGGAATGCCCCAGAAAACTGTTCTGTTGTTGTATTTTATTGCTGTTTGTGCACGCCTTGGTGCAGAAATCTTAAGAGCTTATAAAATTTATTCAGTGTCACAAATTTGTTTGACAGGCAATATCAATCGGTGTTTGGCGATATTGGGTTACATATTCTATATACACGCACACAAAAACTATACTTCTAACCTTATTACGACTCTCAAGAAAAACAATCTCGAACAATTACACTTTTACATCTAGTCTTAAGATGAAGTGTACGTGACAAATTCGTTACTCACGTACAAAATAGAGGAAATTTCTCCGGAGATCAATCACATGCCACAGAATCAGGACCTTGCATTTTCGCGCCCGATTAAAAGTGGACCTATTTGTTGCAGTTTAGCTGGAATGGTGTAAAATACTTCACATTTGGACAAAAAGATTGGTCATTTAGATAGGAAAATAGTTCAAAGTACAAAAATCCTACAGACTAAAAATTAAGACTTTATGAAAAATAAACATTGCCCAAGCTAGTTGTGCGCGTATAAACTTGATTTTTCTTGAAATTCCGTTTATTACTTAAAAGTAAAAAGACATAAAACTGTAATAATTCTGTAGATACCTGACAATTTTGCTTGGGTCCCAATAACTGAGGCTGGTTTTCTGCGGGAGCCAAGTCAACAAATCCCTGGGAGTCGAAGCCATCCGTTTGATCACACCGATCTGAAAACGTAAATTCGCCATTTGCATTTTCGTCCGCAAATGTCGAATCTGTGCTGATCTTCGAAGACCGATTTTCTTGCTTCTTGTTGTCAACTATCAAAACATCTTCTTTAGCTTTGTTTCTTCGCTTCTTGAACATTTCCTCGTGAAACTGGCCCTCTCTGCCGGTGTCTGTCCCGCTTCGAATCGATTGAGCCTTGTGGTCAGCAGTGTCAAATTTAAAATACTCAACCGGCAATGCCGTCACCGGAAGTAACGCATGTATTTTGATTTACTTTTTCCTGTTTGTTACTGACTCGTCCAGACAGTGCTTAAACTAACTGAGTCTACAATATAAAATGCCTTATATGGTGTAAATTATATTCCTCCCCATTAATAACCTGATGCAACAGGGAAGATTTAGCTTTTCCTCTTCGCACTGTACTTGGGCGTGATTGGCTAGCGCAGACTAAGGAGGGGAAGTCCCCAGGGATAAAAAAAAAAAGCAGGGAAAGGGGAGGAAATATTTTCTTGATTTCATCACGACTCTATCAAGGTGTAACAGCGGAGGCATCGAAAAACACTTTCTGGAAATTTCTAACCAATAGGGTTCATTAGCAAACCCACTGCGGTGAGTCTCGGAAACAACGGAGCCGCAGTTAATGTGTTATGCAGTAAACTACTTGATGCAACGTGCGGCGTGCGGTTAGAAGAAATCGAAAAGATTTGGCATAAACAGAAGAAAAGAGCGAAAACACGACCTTCTCCGCTACCTTCGAACCCAACAGTACGATGAGGGCTACCTTTAAAACAGGGAACATGAAATCAGAGAATGGGAATGGGAATGGGGAACGGGGAACGTGGAATCTTTAAAGTGGGAAATCTTTAAAAGCGGGAATCTTTAAAATGGGGAATCTTTAAAAGCGGGAATCTTTAAAATGGGGAATCTTTAAAAGCGGGAATCTTTAAAATGGGGAATCTTTAAAAACGGGAATTCCCGCTTTTAAAGTGTGTTCAGCGACTGGTGTAAAGCGACAAAATAAGATACCGGTATCATTGACTTACAGTCTAAAGTTCCTGTCTAAAGAAATGTATGTTTTTGGAAATGAATATTATGGAAAACTACATTCTGAAGGAAATGAATGGTTATTTCGATTTGGCTAGAAAGTTACTAAAATTTTGAAAAAAAAAAACTGAATAGACATGATTAGAAATGCTTGAATTTGATCAAAACTCGCGTGCATCATTGCATTAGGAACAATGTGCCCAAGAATAAAGATAAATTAGGGCCTGTTTTCAAGGACAGACGGTCATCCTAGCAAGCGGGTTACCCTAGCACTCACACATTTCCTCTTTTTTTCTTCGTCGTGTTTATAAGACAGCTAGGGTTACCCGGGTAAGCAGGTTATCTGCGTGCTAAAGTTACACTGGCTGGCGGGTTAACTTTTTCTCTTGTAAACACTCTCGGTAGGGTTAACCCGCCTACCCGAGTTAACTTTCTAATTGTTTCCAGACCCTTTGAGTGTAACCCCGCATTAAGTTGTCCCGGGTTGTAGCCTTGTAGGGCTTCCCTACCTGTGAAATTTTGCTTGTAAACCCGGCTATCTTTTGCCCTTGTAAGCAGGTCCTTAGTTGTCATTTATTGTCAAAAAAATATTTCTTTTGCGTAGTGGGGCTCATCATGTTTTCCTGATTTATCAAAAACAAAAACTTGAATTAATTTTCAACCGAATGTGACTCCCTCCAGTTCTACCCCCCGCACCCGAACGTGATCAGGTGAACAGTCCACCATCCCCTCCCCTTTCTTATTTCTGATGTCGTTTTCTGGTCGACCCAGTCCTTTTCAGTAAGACGTGCAATGATGCACAGATCTTGCAAACTTATGTAACCAAGATGGCGGCCGTCTCCGTGGTCTATGCAAGAAACATAACTACCAAAGCCCTGCAATTACGGCCGGCAGTAGCTATTACCAAGGTATGTGAATATAAAATTGAATGAACAGTGTTGTACTTGGAATAAAAACTTACTTTTCTTATCCCATGATCACAAAGGTACTCTATGTTAAGTTTCGTGGATGTTGTATGAATATTTTTTCAATAGACCGGTTAGGAATAGACAGTGTAGATCTTTGACATAACTTATTTCTTCGCCGATCAATGAGACAAAGTATCCAGCTGACTTCAGGTTTAATTAGACTGATGATTTTGTCTTTCCTTAACTGGTATTTTACTTGGCAAATTATATTATGTAATCTTTATAAATTATATGTGAAAAAAAAAATCTTAAAGCTTAAACTGTAGCTCATCTGAAGCTCACTTTATTCAAAGCTGAAACTTTGAAGATCGGTCATTGATATGGTCGAATGTTGCATATTTCAGTTAATCATGAGAGTTGCATTTTATGTTACTGCTGACTAAATGACACAGTGAATGGAACAGTGAATACAAATTATATATTTGAACCCCTCTGATGGATACCCTCTCATAAGTGAACAACTTTCCAACCAAGTAGACACTCATTTCACGTGTTATGGGTGTCTGCTCACAGAAGGTTTGACTGCATATGGTAATTAAATAAAAGTGTTCAAGTTCATGTAAGTACCATAAACCGTGACTGTGCTGTTCTTGTTTTACAGATTCCTGTGCGAGATGCAACATCTGCAAGTGAAAATCCTCGTAACAAAACATTCTCTGTGTACCGCTGGGTGAGTTTCTTGTAGTCTAGTTACCAAACTTGCCCACAAATAATTAAGCTGGAAATGAAGACACAGTATTCAGTAAAAAGTTTGAAAGGAGATGAAGGTATCATTTTTTTGTTTGTTTTTGCATTTTAGGATCCAGATAAGCCTGGTGATAAGCCCAGAATGCAAGAATATCAAGTTGATCTGAACAAGTATGTAACATCTTAAAGTTCTTAATTATTTTTTTAAACAAGAATGAGGTCTTTGGTCTCAGACCATGATCTTGCTGTATTGACGGCGAGGAATATGGTAACGTCAAGGTTTGAATGTTTGAAAATAAGTTGTTTGTTATATGGCTTTTTGCTTTGTTTTTACAGCCCATAATGGGCCCATGGGCTAATTCCTCCTCCAGGCATGCAAAATCATTGTTAGCCAGTCAATTTGCCTGGTGGTATGGAATACGGGAGAATTAGCCAATCAGAATGGTTATATTGCTACAAGAACAAGCCATATAGTCAAGTTCTATAGGAACCAAAGTCTCCTTTTTAATACTTCAATAATAGCTTCCCTAAAGAGCACAGGGATACTCACCAATCTCATAACTAATTAGTGTAAATTTAACAAATATTCATAACATATGATTTTGTAACATTTTGCAACTGCAGCATGTATGAGGGGAATAGAGATATTGAATATTGACATATTTTCTTTTGGAAAAAAGTCAAATTCAAAGATGTTGGTGTGACTGTAAGCTACATGTTGATTGTTTACTATAGCTTTTGTTAGATCTTGAAGAATTCTTGTTTTGTTAGATCTTGACAAGTTCTTTAAAATTGTAAAATGTAGTTTATATATTTTAATTAAGGGGGTCAACTCTATATGAGGATCAAGTTCTTCCCTGCTGGCCCCTTATTTGCATGTAGATATTTATATATTTTTGATGCAAATAAAGTTGTTATAAATTAAATATTAAATGTGTCAATTAAAGTGCGTTGTGATCTGTTTCTTTTCAGATGTGGTCCAATGGTTCTTGATGCATTAATCAAGATAAAAAATGAAATAGATCCAACTCTGACCTTTAGACGCTCTTGCAGGGAAGGTACTGATAATACACTATAATATTTAAAAGTGTTAATAAATCTTATGTATCTGATGGAGTACATCTTGTCATGTATTTTCCTTATTCTATTGCATGTTCTTTAAGCTTTTCACACTAGTCTTAATGTCTTTTTTTTCTGTTCGCATCTCCAGGAATTTGTGGCTCATGTGCCATGAACATTGGAGGGATAAATACTTTGGCCTGTATAAGGTAAGTACAGTAATGATAATAATTTTATTACTAATTTAGTAGGTTAAAACTGAGAATAGACAGATACCTTGTAATAAATGTACAATTACCTGCAAAGTCCAGTATTAAGCTCTGGGCTTATACACGTCATGAGGGGTTCAGTAACTTTGGGTGGGTGGTGACCAGAATTTACAGTATGGCCAGAGTGATACTCCCACATTACTGTTAAGCTCACAATTTACCGCGGTTACTCTTTATCTTAAGAGAATGATTTAATTGGAGAATTTGTCTTTCAGTCGAATCAATCCAGATGTTGGAAAGAAAGCAAAGATATACCCACTACCACACATGTATGTGGTGAAGGACCTTGTTCCAGTAAGTTGGAAATTGTTCAATAGTTATATCCATTCATATAACTCAAGTCTATTTCCCCATAGTCCCTTCTAAAGCTAACCTCCAAGAGCATCCAGTTTTTTTTCCACCCTTTCACGTGTGAAACAAAAGCTGAAAAAACTGGATGTTCTTGCAGGTTATTCTAAGGCTTGTTATTTTCAAGTTCCTGTTAAGGGAACAGCTTTAAGATATATGTTTGTTGTAGCTAAATTTAAAAGCCTGGTAGGTTCACATTCAAAGGGGCACTCAAAGAATGGAATTATACACTGTAAGTAGCCTACGTGTAGCCGTACCCACGCCCTGAGGAAACACAGGAGGGAGGGAACGACATTCCCTTCCTCCTGTTTTTCC